CTTTAAGTGCTGAGTGGGGGGGCATTGCTGAAGGCTGCAGCTGTCTTTTTTCCTGGAGTCTTCCTCTGAAGCTAGCAGAATGATGGAGAAATGATACTGGTTGTATGAAAGCAACCCCTTCAGCCAACTCCTGTCTTCCTGGGAAGGCTCCTGAAAGAAATAGGTGTGTGGAAGGTGCACTAATCTGGGGGGCATGTTTAGGATTCTAGTCCTCTCTTGGTGATTCACTAGCTGTGTATTCTTGAACTAGTCAGTTCACCTCCCAAGCCTTAGTGTCCTCCCTCTGGGTCTAAATGTTATCCCAACTTTCCAGGTGGGAAAACGGAGGTAGTTATCTGCTATGTCAGGTTTTTTTTTGTTTTGTTTTGATCATGTCAGTTTTTGCACAGAAATAGGGGCAGACCTCCAGTTAGTGCTTGGGTTCTCTTGTACCAGGTTCCCTATGTCCTAATTAGCGCCCTATAATATTCATCATGGGGCCCCTTCCAGAATGCCTTTTTGTTGATAGATTTTATTTATTTATTTATTTATTTATTTATTTATTTATTTATTTAATCCTCACCTGAGGATATTTTTTTCATTGCTTTTCGGAGAGTGGGAGGGAGAAAGAGATAGGAACGTCGATGTGAGAGAGACATACCGATTGGTTGCCTCCCACATGCAAGCCCCCGGACCGAGGCTGGGGATGGAACCTGCAACCGAGGTACATGCCCTTGGCCAAAATTAAACCTGGGCCCCTTCAGTCAGAGGGGCGACACTCTAACCACTGAACCAAACTGGCTAGGGCTTGTTCACATATTTTGAGAGGACTCTTGAGCACTTGGTGCTTAGGTCATAAGCCATGAGATGACCGTGAGTGCACAGCCACCAGCCGGAGGATGATTTCATGAAAGCTCCATGTTTCCTCCTAGTCAGTGAGCCATAATGACTCTGGGATGCTCAGTAATAAGTATGTCCCACCTGTTTCCAAACCCCTGTAAGTTCAAACAAGGCTGCCAAGAATCAGGCCTAAAATTATACTCACCAATTGTGTTTTTGGTTTGTGTCTCTAGGGAATGCTTTGCTCTCCCTCCAGCTTTCTGTCTGCCCTTGCTGTAAGGGTGGGTTTACCAAGTGCAAGCTTAGGTCAAGTTCCCACACGTACACTCCATGTAGAAAAGAAGCTAGTGCACCTCTGATGCATGCAACACAGGGTTCTGCATTTAGTGAAATACTCTTCTTGCTTTTCTCCATTTTGACAGGGAGGGAGACTTGTTCCACTCCCCACTGCCCTCAAGGTGTAGTCACAGTCTCGATAATTAGTGAAGTGCAGTATGGTTTACAAAGCACTTTCGCATGCATTCCTATGAGGTAACCATAGTAAATATTACTATCTGTTTTTCAGCTGAAGAAGTTGAAGCAGAAGATATTGAATGCCTTACCTGAGACCATTCTGCTGGTGAGTGGCAGGGCTGGGCTCATACTCAGTCTTCTGATAACCTAAGTGATTTCTGGAGGCCCCTGTCTACAAAGGCTACATGTTTTTCCTTTAAGAGTATCATGGTCTCTTGTAATATTTTGTATGCATGCCAGTGAGGAAATGAATATTTTTTCTTTTTTTATCTTTTGTAATTTTTAAATGAAATCCACTAAAGAAGGAACCAAGAACCTACGGAAACAACTATTGATGATTTTCACCTGGAAACCACCAGAGTAGTGGATAGTACCTCAAATAGCCACAGTTTTGCCTGGCACTTCAGTCTGTTCAGTTGGATTTGTGAGGCCTGTCAGCCCCAGGAATGCCCATAAGCATCCCAACAACTATAAGACAAATACATAAACTAGTAAATAAAGACTAGAAGTCACTTTAAGGTTTTCGAGTCCTCTGATTTCTCACATGTTCAGTGTGGCTTCCCCAGTGTTTGGCTTCACTGATGGAGGGTAACTCAACCAAAAAGACTGCTGTCCCAAACACTGACCTGAGTTAGGAAGCTCAGTGGACCTGGTTTCATTTAGAAACAATTGTACTATGTCTTTCAGTGAGTACTCAAGTACTGTATTTACTAAGGAAAGTGAGTCATTACCTTAGTACGATAGAGCTCATCTAATTTTTTCCCTTTTGCGGCTCATCATGTTCAAAACATTTCAAACTAGTCTATTGGAATGGATATTTGCAGCTTTTTGCCCACCTACCTTTTCATAGCTGCTTAAATCCCTCTATCTTACCCTGCTCAAGTTCTGTGGTCATTTTTATCACTCGTTTGCCTATTTTGTTGCTTTGGCAAGACTGCAATCTGCTAAATTCAGTTCTCTCCCTACTCCACCCTTGAATGTACAAGGACACACATTCAGGCTTATGGGTTTCATATTAAATTCTTGACTACTTACCTCAAGTGATGCGGCCCAGAATCATGTCCACTTCCCCTGTCCATTCATTGTCTACCTTCCTAAAGGACAGTTTCATATCTTCTCTCCCTAAACTTCCTGTACCTCCTTCCACAACCTCATAGCTGATGAACTTGCTTCCTATTTCAGTGAAAAAATGGAAGCAATCAGAAGAGAGCTTCCACAAGTACCCCCCACATCTGTCCACCTACCTATATCTGTTCCCTCATAGATCTAGACTGGGGCTCTTCCTCTAGATCTGGGCTTCTCGACCATAGCCCTATTGACATTTGGGACTGGGTAATTCTTGGTTGTGGGGAACTGTCCTTTGTACTGTAGAACGTTTCACAGTACCACTGGCCTCTACTCACTGGATGCCCACAGCATCCCTCCCTTAGTTGTGACAACCCATAATATCCCCTGGGGGGACTAAAAATCTTGGGGGCTATTGACAGTGTGTGTAGACACTTTTAGTTGTTATGACCAGGGGAGGGGTTGGGGTGCTACTGGCATCTAGAGGGTAGAGACCAGGGATGCTGGGGAACATCCTGTATTGCACAGGGCAGCACCCACACGAAGAATTATCTGGCCCCAAATGTTGATAGTGCCATGGTTGAAAAATCCCACCCTAGATGAACTGTCTGCATTCCTATCGAAACCCAGCCCTCCACCTGCTCCTGCGGGAGTTGGAGGCGACTCCATGGCACGTAACACACATACCATTTTGACGGTGTGTTTAATCTGCCCACCAGCTACTGAGGGACTGCCCGGTGTCCCAGTCCCCTGATTTAAGTTTATTATCACATGTCTTCAATATGTCTAGAAGCACAGTGTTGGGCAGTGTGGGAGTTTTACAAAGAAGTATATGATATAGCTGCATTTCAAGGAGTTTGAAGAACATTAATTAACCCAAAGGACTAATTTGTTCCAAGATGTGAATGGATGATAATGGTTTCATGTAGTTTTGCTAACTTAGGATGTTAATGGATTTTAATTAGATCCTGTCTCCTTTCTCTTAAAGAAGAATCTCAGACGTGGAGACGGCAGAGGGGAGGGGGCCATGGTAATACGCAGAAACTAGTCTAATAGTAAAGATAGCCTCATATGGTATTGCCTCTCAATACCAGCTATCTGTAATCCACCAAATCACCCATAACTCATTCAATGAGCTTAGATTTGATAGAGATAGCCACTCAAGAGAGAAAGAGATCAGCTCAAAATGCTTTGTCTCCCCCTCCCTTATTTATATGTCTTGAGATGCCTCTAATTTTTAAAGTCACTCTTCTGGGACTAGGTAACTGAGCACAGAACAATTTAGCTACTCTCCACTCCTACAGAACCCCACTTAAAAGAAAATGTCTGATAGCAGCATCTAGCAAGTGGTAATTGGTGACAGAAATGAAATTGGCTATTCCCTCCACTTCCCCAACACTTAATGTCTCCTTTAGATTTACAAGTGGATTCAACTGTGCACACAATGGGACTTGCCTCTGAGCTTGATGGGAAGATTTCAGGAGTGGTGCAGGTGTTAAACAAAAAATTATATAGTGTATTTTTATTAGTGATTTTAAGTATTTGTGATTTTGGGGATACAATTAGGGTATATTCTGAAGGCTATATGTAATAATAAAAACAAAGTTAATTAGTAGGTTAACTCAGAGGCTGTCTGTGGGCTAGCAGCTTTCCTCTGCTAAATCTTGTTAAAACGAAGTGGATTCTATTTTGTACAGAATGAGCAGGCTGCCATGACAACTGTCTGTGAATATTATTTCAGTATTAGTCATAGATTTCCAGTGTCTGACTCTGGGTCCAACGTTTATTCTAAAACCCAGATGCGCATCTATTCTTAAAGGAGTTCTCCTGGACGTGTTTACAAAAAACAGAAACAAAACATTGTCAACTGGCTGGGCTTTTTTCTTTTGGAATAGATATTTGAATGAATTTACACAGTTGCAAATTGTAGATTTTATTGCTGTTCTTTTCCTTTGGAGAGGTGATTTGGGTGTGAATTAATATCGTACTTGACTATAGAGTTGATTAAATAGATGCACTAGACCAGAGTTTGGAAAGTTCCCCTCTAGGTATATAAACTTTACGTTAAATTCTTTTTTTTTTTTCAGCTAACAGTAGCAGAAGGAATCTGTGGTTGCCAGTCACAGAAGATTCAATCCAAACCCAGTTAACGAAACCTGTCTCAAATGAAACTGACTTGAAAATTCCAAAGGTAAAATTTCATCCAGAGGTTCACAATGCAGAGCTCCAGCCCTGTTTCCCTTCCTTTCTCTTGGTTTGCCCTTCTCCGTGTATCAGCTGCACCCCCTCAGACTGACTCTCCTCATGATGACAGCCTTGCTTAGAGCCCCACATTTTGGGGGAGAAGAGTGAGTTTGTGTCCCAGTACTCTCTCCAGAGCCTTGAAATTCACTTGTATTGCCTGTCTTTAGCTGTGTGCTCAGTGCTCACGGGAACACTCCCTTTTGACGAAAGTTGATGTGCTAACTGCCTTAGGCCTGAGTTATGCGTGCCCATCCCTGGACAGTCACTGTTACTTTGGAAGTGGGCTTATGCTAATTGGCTTATGTCAATCAGGGCCCACACTTAGAGTGGGGGGTGGTGTCAATCTCATGGAAACCACAGGGTTGAGAATAGGGAGAGAGTTGATTTCAAAAAGGAAAATTGGGGTACTATTGCAAGGAAGCGAGGGGAATATTTGCTAGCCACCTGGTTAGGAACCAGAAGGGTGGGCAAATAATAACAATAATAGCAGCTAACATTTATTGAATTATTATGAGTCCAGGCACTCAAACTGCTTTAGAGAATGTGTTTGGCTGCAGGTAATAAGGTAAATGAAATAGCAGAGACTTAACACAGAGGGTTGGTTTTTATCTCATGTGATACGAAGTTAGGAAAGAAGCAGCTTCACATTGTCGTTCATGTTTCAGGCTCCTCCCATCTTTCTGTAACATCATTCTCTCTCTTCCTAATGTGCTCAAGAGGGCTGCTCCTACTCCAGGCTTTGTGTCCTGTTCCAGGCTGGATGGGGGAAGGGCAAAGAGGAAAGGGCTCATGACAGCTGAGTCTGGTCTGTTTTATCAGGAAAATAGCTTTTCTGGGAGCCTCAGCCAGTAAATTTCTACTTATATTTCATTGGCCAGAACTGTGCCACATGACTAGCCCTAACTGTAAGGGAAGCTAGCAAATCAAGTTTTGTTGGCTGTACCCATTGCCACCTACAACAGAATTGGTGTTTTATTGGTAAGGGAGAAAGGGAGAATGGATATTGGTTAGGCAACTATCAGTGGCTGCCACAATGTGTATTAACTCATTTATTCCTTATATCAACCCAGTGTGGTAGGTACTATTACTGTCCTGGTTTTCTAAGAAACAGGCACAGACAGGTTATGTAATTTTCCCAAGCTCGCACATAGCTGCTAAGCAATGGAGCTAGAATATGACCCCAGGCAGTGTGACTCTAGATCCACATTCTGTTATGCTCCCAAGGCACATCCTGACCCACAGGCCAGACCACATTTCTTCTCTAGGATGTGTATCCACTCGGAAATTGTAGGCCTCTCCTAGAAATGGTAGTTAATATTTGTTTAGCGCTTCATAGTTTATGAAGAATTTTTCACTTAGAGTATTCCATTTATATATTATTATCCTCAGTTCTTAAATGAGAAAACTGAGGCTCAGAGAAATTACGTAAGTTGCCCAAGTTCCCTAGGTTGTGAGTCGCAGGCAGAGCTGACATTTTGTTGAAATGTCAAGAACTTGTTCCTGGTCCCCTGTCTCAATCCTCCTACTCTTCCAAGCACAGAAGACTTCATTTTTAATTTTTAAAAATTACAATATTTTGCTCTAGGCCTTACATTAACTTCAAAATTTCTCAGGGAAAGCAATCCAGAGAAATCTTGGGTCTCTCACCAACTCATTTTCAGTGTCCTTTGCACTTAGCTACACCACCAGGAACATGGCAGATCAGCAGGAATTGTGTTCTATAATAAGAAACAGAAACCTAAAATGGGAGATTATTATTATTTTTTAAATCCTCACCTGAGGATAGTTTTTTGTTTGTTTGTTTGTTTTTAGAGAGAGGAAGGAGAGAGAGAGAGAGAGAAACATTAATGTGAGAAACATCGATTGGTTGCCTTTCATGTGCACCCCAACTGGGGATCAAACCTGCAACCTAGGTATGTGCCCTGACAAGGAATTGAACCTGGGACCTTTTGGTGTACAGGACGAAGCTCCAACCAACTGAGCCACACCAGCCAGGGCAAAGGGAGATTATTTTTATCTCATACACTATAAAATCCAGAGCTTCATTCATAATATGAAGGTGTTCATTACAAATAGCTCTTATCTACCTGTTTAAGTAAAAGAGTCATTAAATATATAGAAATTTCCTGGCCTTAGTTACATCAGGTTAATTTATATTACGTTCCCTTGAAACTGCTCTGTAAATCAGACTTTTCACAAGTAAGAATGACAGTTCACCTCACTGGGATAGGGTAGTGAAGTTTTACTACACTACCGATACCTCAATTTGCTGATAATTGTTATTTCTCTCATTATTTCCAAATATTTGAAATCATTAGCTTATGGCATTGTTTTATTTATATATCACAACATTCTTTTGTTCTGGTGATACTATTGAATTGACCCCCCAAAATCACAAGAACGTTGTAGAATATAGTTTGACTTTAAAAGTCATGAAAGGGTGGGTTGAAAAAGAAATAGAGATTTAAACAAATAAAAATCATCCTGAGTCATAGAGCAGTGCTGCTCAAAGTATAATAGAAATACGGATTCATGAGCGCCACTCTAGACCTACTGAATCAGAACCTATAAGGGGCTGGGCCCAAGAATCTGTTTTAACAAGACCCCAAGGTGATTTATAAACACATTAAAGTTTGAGAAGCACTGTCTTAGAGAGTTTTATGGAAATAAGAACCACAGATTGTGTACTCTTTGGAATACTGGTGAAAATACTAACTTCAGCGTTGGTAAACTAAAATATGAAGCCCTGGATTCTCCTTTGAAAGTCCCTAGATCAGGGGTGGGTAACGTATGGCCTGCTACGGCCCCCTACAGCCTGCTATGGCCCAAGAAGTCATTTGGTCTAACCCTGCCAAGGCAACTGCAGGCAGGACTCAAAATTCAATAAATCTAGGAGCTTTTTTCATAACTAATTTTTAAGTTGATAATTTTGTATGGCCTGCAAATGATGTTATAAATATCCAAATGTCCCTTGGCAGAAAAAAGGTTCCCCACCCCTGCCTAGATCATGGAATCCACTTATCTGCTCCAGGTCACTAAGCCTTAACTCACGTGTATGCTTGACTCTATCCCCCTATCAACACCTTTACCTAATTAATCTGTGTTCATCTTGCAGATGTCAGTTCAAAAGTTACTTCCTCAGAGAAGCCTTTTTGCTTTACCTCCTGACTCACTCTCATGATACACCTACTTCTCTACAATTTTTATAATTATTTGATGAATGTTTCCTTCCCCCACAAGGCTATAAACTTCATGAGGGAAGAGATCTTGTCAGTTCTGTTACCTGGTATGTCCTCAGGGTCTAGAACAGTGCCTGGCACACAATAGATGCTCGACAAATATTTTTTGAATGAATATATGAATGAAACCAAGACAAGAATAAGTGCTCTTAAATAAAATTCTCTAACCCTGGCCAGTGTGGCTCAGTTGGTTGGAGCATCATCTGGTGCACCGGAAGATTTCAGGTACAATCCCCAGTCAGGCTGGGAGCGGGATGCAACTGATCTATGTATCTCTCTCACATCAATGTTTCTCTCTCTCTCTCTCTCTCTCTCTCCCCCTCCCTCTCCCACTCTCCCCCACTTTCTTTCCCCCTTCTTCCAGTTCTAAAATCAATTTTTTAAAAAAGAAAATTCCCTAAAACTTTTCCAAAGGCTCCACCATAAGCTGTTAGTCATCTGAGGCAATAGTAGCAAGGGTTTTGCAAAGAAAGCCATGGATCTTTCCCAGGCCTTGTTTTAGCTAATAATTTCAACATTTCTCCAAACCAACTATTCTTTGTTTTCTATGTTTATGAATACAAAAATGGTTGACAAGGGTAATTGTGGCAAAAAGAAAGAACCTTGTACCCGCCTTTCCAATAAGCAGGAAGTATTTTTTGCAGGCAGGTTGTGTTCACCTTATGTTGGCAGGTGATGATGTCATAATTGCAGCTGACATCATGGGGTTGCCAGGGCAACCTATTGAACAGTATAATCACCTGCCTCTGGTAAACTGCAGTTGAGGCTCAGTCCTCCTCAAGCAACACCCATGAGCATGAGGATGGATTGAGTCCTGAGCCTCCAGCCCTGGCTGAAAGACTTACCAACCAGCCAAGTGAGTATCTAGGAGTGTGGAACTGATATAACATGGAAGGGTTAGAACTCTTAAAGGAGATGAATGTAATGAAATCTGGGTAGTCATGGAAACATATGGTTGAAAGTTAACCTTCCTGTGTTTAGTTGTTGGGCCAACTCTTGTGGACTTTATGTTTTGTGTATGGAGTTTATTGTACTTTAATATATATTATATTGGAGCTATCTTTATAGGGTGGAATTGGGTAACTTTGATGTAATGGAAAGAGTACTGGCTACCTAGTCATAAGACTGTGACATTTGGGAGCCACCTAACCTCTCCTATAAAATGGAGGGCTTGCCCTCGCCAGTGTGACTTGGTTGGTTGGAGCATACTGAAAGGTTGCGGGTTTGATTTCCAGTCAGGGCACATGCCTGGGTTGCAGGTTCGATCCTTGGTCAGGGCACGTACAGAAGGCATCCAATTGATGTTCTCTAGTGTTCTTTGATTCCTCTCTCTTTCTCTCTCCCCCTTCCCTTCCCCTCTCTAAAATCAATAAGCATATCTTCTGGTGCGGATCAAAAAAATAAATAAATAAAAAATGGAGGGCTTTTCTGAACAAGTCCAGAGGGCCATAGTATCTTGCCACATCATGGGCTCACCTATTATGGAGCTCTGGGCCAAGAACCTCATGGTGGTCTCGCAAAGGGACTCCACCATCTATGCCGAGATGGTTTTGCCCAATTTCCAGTGCTTTGACATGAGAGGGAGTTGTTGCATAAATGTATATATTTTTTTGTTTTATTTTTGTCTTGGGGTGGCAGATTATAGCCCCCACAAAAGGAAAATCAGGAAGAATTACCATTGTTCCGCCATTGACTCATGCTAGGTATCAAACTGAGATACTGCAAAACAGGAGCACATGCAAGCAAAAGGGACAGATTGTGGCAATATTTAAAAATATCACAACTCTCTAAATAAGAAGCAGCTCTGGTAAGTGGATTTGGAATTCAGACAAAACACCCATAACTCTGAAAATCTGAATTGTACGTTGCCAAGGTAAATTACTTCTATGCAGTAATTAGAGAAGATATGTTGGATTATCTGATAATACCTGTTTCCCTTGGTATGCAGCTATCCCTCTCTCCTGGGCCTCTTCCTTTCCAGATTGCTCCTTTGTTCGCTCCTTAATGTCTCTCTATTCCCCAGGGTTCTGTGTTTGCTCCTATTCCCTTCCTACTCTACGAGCTCTCCCTGGCTATTTTATCTCCTCTAATCACTTCAGCTGTTACCAGTACCCTGATGATCTCTTTAATCAGAATCTGCAGACCTGATTTATTTCCTGGGCTCTAAACATCGGCTTCTACTGTGTATAGAACATTTCAGCTTGTCATTTTTCTCCACCATAAACACACTTGTCCCCCTTCATGTCCTACCCCTGTACCTGTTAATACTCTTCTGTAATTAATGGCATCACCAAGACTATAAATTACAAGAGAGAAGGGACCACTGTTGTACCCCTAGCACCCAGCATAGTGCCTGGCACAAGGTAGAAACTCAGTAAGTAGTGTTAAATAAGTGATGAATCCATTTATTATTCCAAACTAGAAACCTTGGAATCATTTTTTTTTTTAATCCTCACCTGAGGATATGTTTTTATTCATTTTAGAGAGAGAGGAAGGGAGAGGGAAAGGGAGAGAGAGAGAGAGAGAGAGAAACATTGATGGGTTGCCTCCCATAGCACCCAGATCAGGGATAGAACTGGCAACCTGGGTATGTGCCCCAACCGATGTTGAACCTGCATCCTTTCAGTGCACATGACCATGCTCCAACCAACTGAGCCACACTGGCCAGGGCTGGAATCATTCCTGATATCTCCGTCTCCTTTGCTCCCTATACCTAGTCTGGGACCAGTGCCAATTTGTACCTAAAAGGCTTTTATAGTTGGCCTCTCCCCTCCACCCCCACTGCGAGGGCTTTAATTCTGCCCTTATATCTATCTCTTGGATTGTGACAGGAGCTTCCTCATTGGTCGTCTTATGGCTGGCTTTTTCCCAGTTCATCACCATCTGACCCTCAGGGTGATCTTCCTAAAGTTTGAATCAAATCAGATTACTCTCAGACTCCCCTTCACTCAAACAGAATTTGCAATCTGGCAGCCTCACTCTAAATCCATGGAGTTTATACAGTGTTTTGAGGAAATGAGAATTACAGTATTTCATTGATTCTAAGATGCACATTTTTTTCACATTTTAGCACCTCTGAAATTGGAATGTGCTTAAAATCAATAGAGTGTCATAGTTTGATGGGTGGCTTTTTTCTTTTTCTTTTTTTTTTTTTTTTAAATTTTTTTATTGATTTTTTTT